CCCCAAAACCCCAAAACCCCAAAACCCCATTCAACTGTTTTTTACTATCCATGAGAAATTTTATTATATACATCAAATTCACTAAATTAAGATCATTTTTTACAGAGCCACTGCAGAACATTTCTGCAAGCAGACTTAACTACTCTTTGATCAATCAAGACATAGTCATCTATTACGAAATTATTCCTGGTCCCAATTACAATTGTGCTATCTTTGAAATTTAAGATTTCAGCATTCATATACTAGCTATTATCATTATCATAAAAATCATCTTCTTCTTCAATGACGGTTTGCTTATAAATCTTCTTGGGTGAGTTGTCAAAGCTCTTTACTTAAAAATAAGGCATGTTCAAGAAATCAGGACTCATCTAAATCTAGCTTCCGCTTGAATTTAGGTTATTGTTATTTGCATTATTATCTATTGTATGGTATTGAGATTGATCATGAGATGACATCATTGAGCTTTCTAGCATTGCATTAATCATATTGTTATTATTAATCTCGTGAGCTATTCTGTACTTAGTTCGATATTAGTTAAAGTACTTGGCCTTCTCATTTTTGATGTAGGCGTTTTTATCTCTTAAACCAGCTAGCAAGCCAGCTATTTTTATATCTGGCTGATACTACTCAAACTTCAAACAAGCTTACTGTTCTTAGAAATCTAGCACAGGATTTAGCTGACCATAATAGCCAGCTAAGTCAACAGCATTTGAGAGCATATTTATATTGAAATCGTGCCTTTTAACATATTTATTTACTTGATAATTGTCCTCCCTAATTACTTTAAGTACTGATTCCAAATTAAATTAGCTTTATCCAACTATGATATTGAGTACTTTTACATCTCCACTTTCAATTTGATATTGTGCTTATCTTAAACTATCGATCAACTCATAATCAGGCGATTTAACTACCTGTATATTTTCCTCTTCAGCTTCTATTTCTTCCTCAGGTGGTGGCTACTAAAATTCTTCATACTTTATACCTTAAATGCATTTAACCACGCTTTTTTATCTGGACTTGCCATTATTATCCAGCACCCCAAAGTCAATTAAAATTTAGTCTATATCAATCCGACTGTTCTATTAAGTCTCTTCATGATTGAAGGTATACAAGCCATCAAAATAATATTCTTCTTTTTACAACAATATCTCTTTTATGTATTAGTATTTATCTTTACCCCTGACATCTATATAGAGAGCAACTTGATATTGCTCCAGCAGATCTTTAAGGAAACTTAAGAACTGTCTTTTTAAGTATAGTTTGTGATTGATCTTCTTTTTCTCTTACTAATCCCATTATGATTCAAGCACACCAACCAAGTCAGAAAATATGAGAATAACTAAAGGCCTGTACTCCATATTCTATCTCCTGCTGAATTGCAGTCGATGTGATTATCCATGTTTCAAGAGCGTCATAGCTGGTAGTTTCTTTGTCTGTTGAAACATTTACTTTATTCGATCCTTGCATTCTCTGGCAAAGCTTGATGACATAGATGAGCCTTTTTAGTTCAGCAGCATTTTCAACCTTTACTATTTACTATCAAAGTCAATTTTATATGTACCCATAGGGGTTTTATGAAACTTTATTGCATCCATTGATACTCTACCTGGCTCATCTTACTTATTTCTCCAATTTTCTGTTACTTCAGTTTAAGTAAGCTCTGTCGTATTCATATTTAGCAGTGTCGCATTTCTAGTCCTCAACTTTAGTTCTGACTCCTTATTAGCCAGACAGGAATGTGAGTGTTTCTACAATATATTAGTGCAAGACTATTAGGTTGAAAGCGCCATGCTCTGAATCATAATAGATTCAAACTGATTTCCAGTATCGTTCCTTGTATCCACTCTAGGGGATTTAAACTGTAGTTTTTGTTTTAGAAAACCTGAAATATAGCTAATAGAGGACTATTTTGTGTTGTTGTTCTTATCTCTCAAAGGGATCTCATCCTAGTCTTTTTTGTCCTCAAAGTTGATGCTTGCTTTATTTAGAACTAGCTTTTATTGATTTCTACGCTCATGAATCTGCTTTATTTTAGTGTTCTTAAGTTAATCCTCTCTGGCAACAGTTTCATTCCTTAGTTACTAATTTGACGTCATTCTCATCAATACACTCTCATCTATTCTTGGTGTTATCTTTTGCTGTTGTAGTTAGAGTTTTTTTAGCGTAAAAGATTTACTCTTGGGATCTCTAATTTTATTGGCACTTACTGCATGATTTGAAATATCAAGTCTCCTTATATCAATATATGTATTATTTTAGCTTACTGGATTACCCCCGTACTAACTTGAAGTGCAATCATCTCCCTACGAAGGAGGATTTTATGATTACTAAGATTGCTATTTCAACTCTTTGTCAAGCACATGCGAGAACATCTTACGGCCTGAGAACGGCATTATTATCTCTCCAGTCCTTAGAGCTTTGTTCGATTAGGATTATTCTGGGAAGATCTGATGAGGAGACAATTGGCAGTCTTGAATGTAGAAGCTTTGTTGCTGTCGATAATTTATGTTGAAATAAGGTTATTCAACCAGTGTTTGCTGGTTTTGCTAAGAATATAGTGCTTCCTAATTATCAGATATCACAGACTATCTTGCTGATGGTACTGTTTGATCAGTCTCAATCTCATTCCTATTTAGATTATTAATTTGTGGTAGAGGCTTTATTTGAGGCAGTTGGAGTGTTACAGTATTGACTGTTGTTTAGGTCTTCTGAATTAAACTTCTATGAAGACCCTCTACGATTCTATATTTGTTATTGAATCTAGCAACTTAATCAAGCTTTTCATTAGACTTAAACTAAAAGAAGCTGCCATTTTTCTTTTGATCAATGGTTTCCCTATCTCTGATATCTAGCTTGTTGATAAACGACTTCGCATGCCTAATTTCTTAATTGGGTTGAGGGCTATACATCACGTTGTGAGAGATGTTATTATTGACGTACTAATCTGGCTAAGTCTAGATCTTTGTAAACTCGTTTGCGAACTTTTTCTATTCCTCTATGAAAGAAATAAGATTTTTGTGCGTGTTTTTAGTGCTAGTCGGCTTGGTAGCTGAAGTGTTATCATACTCATTCCCCATATATGAAGATTTTTTCTTATCATGTTTTATAGAAGAAATCCCATTTAGTCCGCCTAGTAACACAGTTGATTATTGTACTTGAGACACATTATTGTTGTTAGAAGAATGAGTATAAATCTTTTGATTAGTGATTATCTTAGCCTGCTAAATCGTGGGAAGGAATTAGGAATTCATCGAAGAGTCTTAGGATACATTTTCCTGATTTCGCATGACTTAGCTGACAATTTAATCCTTTGCTTTTTCAATTATTTATTTCCTCGGCATTAGTTTGTCTCTTTTTGATTTCTTGAATTGAATTTAATTTGCAGAGGTATCTTTATTGCTGTGCTTAGTGCTTTCCTGATTGTTGTTCTAGCTCTGTATTTTCAAATACTGATTCAGTATAATCTAGGCGCCTATCATGGCTGCATGCTCAGTTTGTTTAGAAGTCATGTAAGTTGGGGTTGTATTTTAGTTTTGATTTACATAATTTTTAGATTGCACAGGGAAGTCAAAATTTTTATTCATTGTTTCAGAGGGCATAGCTGTTCGGTGAGTCAGCTATTACTGCTTCTAGTTCTTGTTATTTGATATTTCTAGAGTCTGCATATTCCTAATACCAATCACAGGAGAGGAATCTCTCGAGAGCTTATGATTCTCAAACTTAATGGGCTGAAATGTATCCACTTGACCTTCAAAGTATATTTATCCACCCAGAGGATTGATGTTCCTTAACTCGCTTTAAGGCTATTGTTTGCTCTTTATGTTTGGGGTTATCCGCTCTGTTTACAGAGATCTCTTGCCATTGATTGTTTCCTTAGATTGAGCCTGTACTCGCTTTAAAAGCTAATTGTTGGCGGAGGTTATGATATGAGGCACATTGACGTTATGCTGATCTTTCTAAAGTACCTGATGGGCGTTTAAATTCGCTTTAAATTATTCAGTCATTATACTTTAATTATAATTTGAAGAAAATATTCCTGATAATCTTGAATTCAATTTATCAGAATTTATTCTGATGGGGTTTTGGGGTTTTGGGG